CATTTGCATTTATACCAGCTTAATTCTGAGTTTTGACATTTAAATGGCATATATTCTTGTAACTATCAACATGGTCAAGATACAAGAAGTTTCAACACTCAGAGAATTCTCTCATACCCCTTTGGCCAGCAGAGGAGGTGGTGGCAAATCCTGAGGGGAACATCTATTGTCTTTCAGGGCAGAAGCCTTTGAATTGTCTTCGAACAAGTTTGCGAAGTGCTACTCTTACTAAGCAGTAATGGGCCACTACTGTAGACTGAGAAGATTCAGGGGAACCTGGAAATAGGAGATTTGGGGCCCACAGCCCACTTGTTTCCATTATATCTGTCAGAGTCTTATTCTTTCTCCTCAGGGCTCTGGTCTTGGCATAGCAGACTTGCCTTCTAGGGAATTTAACCTTTGGAGCCCAGCAACTCTGATAATTAAGTGTTGGTTCTGGTCCTTAGGTTTCTCTGTCCTCCTTTTACAAGAGAGGAGACTGTCTTTATATGCTTCCAGAGAGACCTTTTGGCTTTCATACTTAGCTTCTGATTGGCAGTGTGATCTTTTTTCCAGAGAGCAAAGATTTTAGTAATACTCTTTCAATTTCATTGCTTTTGTAGTTACTATTTTTCCTCCCTTGCCAGCTTTAAAATCCCTTCTTAGCATCTGCAGCCAGCTGCCCTGGAAGCCTAGTGCAGAAAGTTCATTAAGGTGTTCCTTTGGGATTAACACCTGGGAGGAGGGAGGATTGTGCAGATGCAGAATTCATGGTGCAATGCAGGTCCAGTGTTAGCTTTGGCCAACCCCTTTTGGGAGCTCTGGTGCTAGAATTGGCCCTTCTGAGTTGCCCAGAATTGGGCTTAGGTCCTTAGGCCTTTATATTGCTGTATCAGTTGGTCATTGGGTGGTGGGCTGCCCAGGAAGAGTTTGACCTTGGGTAGGGTCATTCTCTGCAGGTGAGGCAATCCCTGAAGGACTGACTGAGCACTTCTAGCAATTAAGGCAACAAGAAGGGGAGCTGGGGAGTGCCATAGTGTGTACTACAATTGCTCTGTATCCTCTAAGAGTGATTATCTTTATTACTGCCTTGCTTCTCCTAGATTTGGGTTTCATTTGTTCCAAAATTTGTTTCAGTTTTTTAGTATCATTATGAACTCATGGATTTAAATACATATATTTAGCAAACTTTGTGTTGACTTAAACATATAGAAGGATGCACAAATATATGCAAATATACAGCTTAATAAATGTTGACAGTGTAGACACACCAGTGTAACCGGACAGTGCTAGCAGTCCTTCCTCCTACATTTCCTTCTAGTCATTACCTGTTCTTTCCAAGGGTCTGTACCATCCTGACTTGAATTTATCTTGTCTTTGAAATTTATGTAACATAATCGTACAGTAAGTGATATTTTGTTCTGACTTTTCACTCATATTTTTGAGATTAAGCTTACAGTTGTAAGCCATTTATTTTTATTGCTATATAGTTTTTCTTTAAATATACTGCTTTTTAAAAAACCATTTCTGCTATTGGTAGACACCTGGAGTGTTTTCAGTTTATTAACGTGCTGTTATAAACATTTTTGCACATATCTTTTGGTGGACATACGTACATATTTCTGTTGGGTATATACCTAGTGAAATTGCTAGGAATGTATATATTTTTTTTAGTAGATAATGTCAGACATTTTTCAAAAAAGTTACAGATTTACACTCCTACTAGTAATGTATAAGAGTTCTAGTTTCTGGGGTGCCTGGCTGGCTCAGTTGGAAGAGCTTGCAACTCTTGATCTCAGGGTTGTGTGTTTGAGCCGTACGTTGGGTGTAGAGATTACTTAAATAAATAAATAAACTTAAAAAAAAAAAAAGAGTTCCAGTTGCTGCAGCTGACCCCTGTTTATGTAGGATGTAGCCCTCTGGAGCTTATAGTTGAAAATGGGTTTATTTTCTAGGTTTCCTCCACTAGCAGGTTCTGAACTCTAATCTTTTGTCTTCCTGAGGTTGTGAGACTTTGAAATTCTGCTTTGTTTCTCAGAAGTTTTTGGCTTAGCTTTTAAACCTTTTCCACCAGTTATGCATTTGAGGCCACCTCATGTCTTCAGTTTTGTCACTTAAGCCCTCACTGTCAACCCGTATTTCTGATGGTTTCTCTTTCCCTCCACAGAAGTACCTTGCTTGAAACATGACTTTTGGGCACACTCTCATTTTCTGTTGCAATGTTAGTCTGTCTTATTTTTTTTCTCATAGTAGCTTCACATATGATTTGACCACATTCTTTGCTCATTTTTTTTGGTGGGGGGAGGGGCAGAGGGAGAGGGAGAGGGAGAATCTTAAGCAGGCTCCAAGCCCAGTGTGGAGCCAGACATGTGGGGCTCAATCCCACCACCCTGAAATCATGACCTGAGCTGAAATCAAGAGTCAGACACTTAACTGACTGAGCCACCCAGGTGCCCCATGCTGTTGCTCATTTCTTTTTTCTTTTTCTTTCTTTCTTTCTTTCTTTCTTTCTTTCTTTCTTTCTTTCTTTCTTTCTTTCTTTCTTTCTTTCTTTCTTCCTTCCTTCCTTCCTTCCTTCCTTCCTTCCTTCCTTCCTTCCTTCCTTCCTTCCTTTCTTCCTTTCTTTCTTTTCTTTTCTTTTCTTTCTAAGATTTTATTTGACAGAGAGAGTGAGAGAGCACAAATAGGGGGAACAGTAGAGGGAGAGGGAGAAGCAGGCTCCGCCAAGCAGGGAGCCTGATGCGGGGCTCCATCCCAGGACCCTGGGATCATGACCTGAGCCAAAGGCAGATGCTCAACTGCCTGAGCCACCCAGGTGCCCCTACTGTTGCTCATTTCTATGTGAAATTAGTTTTCCTGAATTGGTGGGAGGGAAATGTGAGCCAGGATAGCTCTTTATCTTCATGGCTCTAGAGCTCTTCTATTTCGTGAAATTAAACAAATACATCATCTCATCCTTTCTGAGCTCCTTTAGCTTTCTTCCTCTTTACCACCTTTATCTAGACCTTTTTCCTTTGCCCCTGTTGTCCCTGTTGTCAATTTGGAGTGAATCTCATCAATTTCTTCTCGGTGTGGGCTTCATCCTAAAATGGGGTGCTTCGTCAGCTGGTTAGTTTAGAACTGTGCTGCCCATTGGTGTCCAATAGCTACTTAAATTTAAGTAAATTAAATAGAAGTTAACATTTGATTCCTCATCTGCATTAGCCATGTAACAAGTGCTTAATAGTCACCTGTGGCTATGGCTACTATATTGAGCATTGTTGATATAGTATATCACTGCAGAATGTTCTGTTAGGTAGTGGTGATTTAAAGTATGCGCTCTTCTCTTCAGGCATTGTTATAGACCTTTTGTACTCATGTGAAAATTGCAATATACAAAAAAAAACCCCCCTGTGTTTCAGCTAATGTTCTTTTTTTTTTTGGTCAGCTAATGTTCTTAAGATGGCCTGTTGTACTTTTCATTGAGAATGGCATAGAATTTTGGGATTTTCCTTTTGTCAGATCCATCAGACATTCTGCTTCCCTCTGCTTTCTTTTGCAGAGATGCTTATACCACACCAGTTTTGTAGCTGAAAGTGGTTTGTTCCTATTTGCTTGTATTTTGGGCTTTGTGGGGTGCCTTGTCCCCTGTTTTACTGAATTCACCTATTCATATGCTAATTGCATCTGGAAGCACCCTCAGAAACACACCCAGAAATAATGTTTAGCCAAATATCTGTATATCCTATGATCCAGTCAAGTTAACACATAAAATTAACCATTACAGAGCGAGTTGGTGAGATTTACAAGCTACACTACAGCCACTGCCTTCTTCTAAAATTCTCCTTTCTTAGGTCTTTCAGATATTTTTCCCTCTGTAACCTTTAAAATTAACATTATGTAATTCTGTAGCTCCTGTTAAACCCTAAAAATGCTTCCGCTCTTTTATTTAGTATTTATTATCAAATCAGTCATCTATTATTAACTGACTAGACAAACTTGGGCATGCCACTTAGTCTCTTTCCACTTTAAGTTGCACCATTTTAAAAATGAAAACACTGGGGGCACCTGGTGGCTCAGTCAGTTGAGCGTCTGCCTTCGGCTTGGGTTATGGTCTCAGGGTCCTGGGATCGAGCCCTGTATTGGGCTCCCTGCTCAGCGGGGAGTCTGCTTCTCCCTCTCCCTCTACCCCCCCCCCCCAGGTCATGATCTCTCTCTCTCTCTCACTTGCTTTCTCTGAGTAAATAAATACAATATTAAAAAACAAACAAGCAAACACTGGACTTAGGTTTGTTTTTTCGCAGAGGAACCTCACAAGTCTTCTCTCAGCATTAGCAGGATCTAATATTTAAACAGTAGATATACTCATGATGCTTTCAATACAAAATGCTACTTTTGAACAGCGTAGAGATGAACTTCTTGGCAGTGTGACTTAACTCATTCTCAGATAAATGTAAATGTGGTCCCCTTAAAAGATTTTTTTTTCTATGAAACTTACCTGTCTGTTGTTCTGTTACACTCTCAACTATGTACCTGAGGGTGGTCATCTTACCTGAATTAGTCTTACTGTGTTTATTCCAGGTTATATAGCTTATTCTCATTTCTGAAAAATCTACAGTTACTTGCCATATTGATTAGAGGTCTGGGGCATAGATGTTCTTGATCTGTTGTTCTTTTAATGCTGGAGTTCAGTGTATTAGGGAAAGGATTGTATGCATTTTATTGCGGGCATTCTCTGAAATAATTTTTAGCTACAAGGAAATAGCTCTATTTCTGTGAGTCATCATCTCTCATGTAATACTGGGTAAAGTTTTAATTTTGTAGGTAGAGGTTTACGACTTCTGGAAAGAAAGTTGCAAAAATTGAAATTTCAAGAGTTTTAGATTTGCTATAAATGCTAATCTGTATTGAAAATTGGAGCTTGAGATACAAACAGGTCACTGTGGCTGATAAAAATTTTCCTAAAATCTCATGAGTTTCAATGAGAAATAGTTCTTTTTAGTCGTTTTCATGTGTAAGCTAACATTTTCTTTTTCCCTTAGCTTCCAATAAAAACAGGACAACAGAACACGCATACCAAAGTCAGTACTGAACACAACAAGGAATGTCTTATTAATATTTCCAAATACAAGTTTTCTTTGGTTATCAGCGGCCTCACCACTATCTTAAAGAATGTTAACAATATGGTGAGTATTTGGGTCATTGTTTTGTGGGGGAATTTCCTTTGGTTTGTTTTTGATTTAAAGACTTACAGCAGCATATTTTGAAGTATGGAAAGTCCTTTTCTGTGGACTCTGAATATAAACACTCATTGTATTTTGTGAATGAGCACAGGTAACCCTTAACTTTCATTTTAGTTTTTGATTTTTTTCTCTTAAATACTTCTCTTATTTGTGACCCTATCTTTTCTTTTTATTTTTTTGGAATTAGGATTTCATACAGACTTTAGGTTATATATAAATTGATTACATAGTAAACTATTAAAATCTTTTCCTTAGCTGCTGCTTTGAGTATTTACTTATTAGATTGTCCTAGTCCTAAGTAGACAGAAAATAAAATAGGACCTTGTAGTGTTAAAATGTGAGATTGCTTTTATGAAGATACCGTTTTATTTCCTTCCTCCTGTAACCTGTGACAGATTCTATAGTAGTTAGAGATCCCATTGTTGAAATGATTTTCCTCAAATAGCAATTTCAACAAGTAATTCCACTGTCAAAAGCTCGCAGTTGCCTTTTTTTCCTGTTTTATAAAACCTATTTACATTCTCTAGACTTCAAGTTACTCCAACAGTTCTGTCTCTGTACCTTTCAACATTATCATTTGTCCCAACTCTCTTGGGTGATTCCTTCCTGTCAGTTCCTATCTAACATCTCCTTCATACTCAGTTCAAAACAACGATTTGGATATTTCTTGATTTATTCCGAACTGTTTTTTCTGTCTTTAGCACTTCTAACCACAATTTATATTGTTTGTATTGAGCTTTGAGCTGACTTCTGATTTTAGATTGTGAAAATCAGTCCCATTTTTACAGTCACATCTTTGGTGTGTTTTCTTTTTAAAGATTTGGTTAGACAATGCCCCAAACTTAGAAAATTGGTAAATTGGAGGTGTGGGCAATCATTTGCCATACAAAGAAATTTTTTCTTTATAGAAAAAAATTAAGATTTTTTTCTGAAGAAAGCAGGACTTCTTATGAATATGTAAAATGCTTTATAGAAATACATTTAAGATTTTGTGGTGCTCTTCTGTTGCACAGTGTGTGGGGCCTGGTGATAGGATTTTGCTTATATAAACATGTGGCTGTGTTCCCAGTTAGATGAAAATATTTTAGTATTGGAACCTTCTTTTCAAAACAAAAACAAAAGCAGTATTGTGATACTAGCATTCATTTAGTGCTTATTGAGTAAACTTAATTGTGGGAACCATAGTTTCTTGTTGGTAAATAGCATAGTATTAAATTTAAGGATTGCGAATGCCTTAAATTCACTGTAATTGGTGTTATAGTACTTTGTTGCTGTAAGAATTGAGACTTTGATTATTTTGTGGCATTGAAGTGTGATTAAATGTTCAATGCAAGATTCTGGTTAAGATCTATATGTATATCTAAATCCTGTATATTTTAAAAGTATAAACCAAGTTATTTTCTTTTACTTTATAAGATTAATGATAGACTATAATAAATGCCAACATTTTTGTTTGCCTGGGAATTTATTTCATGTGAGCCTTAAGATAAAATCAGAAATAATAGATTTAAATATAGTCTAATCTGGGAGATAAAATGGAAGACTTGATTTTTTTTTTTCCTAATCCTTAGTCCCTCACTTTTCAGATGTGTGTTGATTTGTAGTAGAGAGTAATAGCCAACTTTTAGTGTTCTGAATATCTTTTCTTTTAGAGAATATTTGGAGAAGCTGCTGAAAAAAATTTATATCTCTCTCAGTTGATTATATTGGATACACTGGAAAAATGTCTTGCTGGGGTAAGTAAATCTAAAATAGGCAGATTTTGTGAATTCAGTTTTGAGAATGATCTGATGTACCAAAGTATAGATGTAGGCAAGAAAAGTCACATGGATTTTTTTGGTCTAAGACATATGAATATAAATTTTGTTAACAGAGCTAACAGTGTATACAAGTTTTCAAGAGAAAATTATTTTCTCATCTTTTGTAAATTAAATAAATACCAAGGTTACATAAAGTGTTATAAAGTGTTATGCTTGAGCCATATATCTCTGTCTCAGGTTGTTTAGAAAAGATTTTATGAAAAAGCCACTATTTGATTGATTGATTGATTGATTGATTGATTTTTAAAGATTTTATTTATTTATTTGAGAGAGAGAGAGCACATGAGAGGGGGGAGGGTCAGAGGGAGAAGCAGACTCCCTGCCGAGCAGGGAGCCCGATGCAGGACTCGATCCAGGGACTCCAGGATCATGACCTGAGCCGAAGGCAGTTGCTTAACCAACTGAGCCACCCAGGCGCCCCCACTATTTGATTTAATTAATTTCTCTAGATATTGTTAGGCCTGTGGCATTGCTTAGCTGTGAAAAAATGTGATGCAAAAAAATGACCAGGAGTAATCTTGTTCCCCCCCACACACCATTTCAGTATTTTACCTGATTTTAATATTTTACTTTTCAAATCTATATAAAAGGGGACTTTAAAAAATTACAACCATTACCCAGAGATCCTACCTTAAAAACACTTGTTATTGTGTAAATTATGAATATACAAAATAGTTATGTGGAGGACTAGTTGAGTACAAAACAGTTCTTTCTTAAGGTTCCTAAATAGTTATCTCAGTATGTTTCAACCATGACTTAATGAGAATTATTTCAAGAATATTTTTGTTGTATAAAGCAAGGTGTTTCTGTACTTCAATAGCCTTAATTCTTACTGGAACATGGTAGTTGTTTATGTAAAAATACATAAATTTTATACCTTCATTTTAAAGATCTATCTATTCATTATATATTAGAGTTATTATATTCCCTTTTCCTTTAGCACATCTTTTGCTTTTATTCAGAATTGCTTCTGTCTTCAACATGTTACAGTTGTTTCCTATAATAAACCTATATGGGCGGGACTTGGATATGAGGACTGATTGTGTGGTTGAGAAGAGAGGGAATGGGCAGTCATGTTTGAGGAAGGGGAAAAATAATTACATTCACTCAATTATGTATCCTGGGGGAAGAGGCATATTTAAGACTATAGGCAACAAAACCTAAGCATAACGTTTTAAACTCTTTTATTGACTCTTGACCATATTCCAAAATTGTTAGACAGTGTTTATAAGTTTTCTACTTAAATTGAAGGTGAGCTAGTTCTGTTTTTAGCTTGGTGCTTTCTATTAATTTGTGATATGCTGTTGTTCCTTTGTAAAATGGAGTGAAAGAGCAAAAGTGCTGTTAAATAAGATGATGTAATTGTGAAGGTGAACAGTTTTTAAACATCCTGAATCAGTTCTCTGTAGTGGTCTTGTTGCTTTGATTGTAAATATCAGTATATCAGCCATATCCATGTTTGAATGGGGGTCGGGTAGTTTATTGCCTCTATCAGTCTTATAGCTTTTCTATAGTAACATTTGTAATTGAGAGGTAATGGTAAATGTATTTTGGAGAACGATTACTGATATTATTGGCCCCTGTTTAATTGATACTCTTTGGAGATAACCTAATTAAAACTCTAATAAGTGGGCATAGTATAACTTATATAATGCATAAAATATATGTTATCTTTCTCTGTCCTATTGAAAATGTATGAATTTCTTTCATTGAATTTACAATTAAAAATAATTCTATTCATATTATCAAATAATTGTGTTTTCTTGGATCACCTTCAATGATAATTATGGTTGTCGGTTGATTTTCATTTTTAGATTGAAGTATGGTGAGGTAGTTCAAGAAGAAGTGAGCCTACAAGTACATGTTTGTCATATAAGTAGTTGAAATAGCTAAATGAAAATCATCAAATATTTACCGATATCATATTATGAGTAAAATTTTGTAGAATTTAAGCGATCTTTGTTCCTGCATATATGGCCATTATTCAAAAGACTGAATACTTCTGCAATTTTTACTTCAGCATTTCTGTTTGATATCAGCATTGCCACTTGAATTTTGGAGGTTTTTGTGATGTTTGTTTGCTGTCTGTATGTTTCAGTGTATTTACATCTGAAAGCACTTGGATTGCAATTAGAGAATCAACCATAGCACATAATTATACAAAATTTTATTTATTACCAAAATCGTCATTCATACGTGAATATTATTAGCTGTTAGGTGATATATTGATGTGGAACAGTGCATCTGCAGAATAGCTTATCCATTGGTTACTTTGTTAATTGTAGGGAAAAGATTTACTTTATAAAGTAGAGATCTTAATGTTAACAGCAAGGTTGTCAAGCTTGGTGTGTCATTAACATTGGAACCACCTGGCATTATGTACTCCTGATATGATACAATATGAATTTTACTGAGTTACCTGAAGTGTTTAACCTGAATTTAATCAGACCATTCGATTAAGGTTCCAGCTAAAGAAAATACACTAACTACAAGAACAAGTCATACTACTAAGAAATAATAGAATCAACAATATGGAACATTTTGTAAGGCCCATTTTCTTAAAGTCAATGTTATAGAAAATAAAAATGATGTATATGGAGTGTTGGGGGGGTGGTCGTTTTAGAATAAAGAGACTAAAGGAATCATGCTGCAATCATCTGAACCCTTTTTGAATCCTGATTGAATTAAAAAGAAGTTATGAGGGCGCCTGGGTGGCTCAGTTGGTTAAGCGTCTGCCTTGGGCTCAGGTCATGATCCCAGAGTCCTGGGATTGAGCCCTGTGTTGTGGGGCTCCCTGTTCAGCAAGGAGCCTGCTTCTCCCTCTCCTCCCTGCTTGCACTCTCTGTCGCTAGCTCTGTCTCTCTCTCTCTCTCAAATAAATAAATAAAATAAATAAATAAATAAATAAATAAATAAATAAATAAATAAAATCTTTTAAAAAAAAGTTATGAAAGACATTTTGGGGGCAGCTGGGGAAATTTGAATATAGATTGGGTATTAGCTGATGTAAGGGGAATTGGTTTTTTTGTTGTTGTTTGTTGATGTGGTGATTGTATTGAAGCTATATTGGAGAATGCCCTTATTTTTATTTTCTAAAGATTTTATTTATTTTAAAGAGAGAGAGAGTGTGTACACAAGAGGGGAGGGGAAGGGCGAGGGGTGGGGGGGAAGAGGGACAAGCAGACTGTGCACTGAGCGCAGAGCCTTCGGGCTCCATCTCATGACCCTGAGATCATGACAGCCGAAATCAAGAGTCCGTGGCCAGCCACCCAGGTGCCCCAAGAATGTCCTTATTTATTTTTTGAATGTCATTTTTAAGAGATGCTAAAGTACCTATGATGTTTGTAACTTACTTTGAAATGGCTCAACCAAAACAAAATTATTTGTAATAAGTAAATATCTGTTTTGGTCAGTCCACCCAAAGGCAGATGTGATTGTGCACCCAGGAATTTATTTGGATTTGAGACAGATGACACAATGCACTCACAAATAAATATGAGTAACGTTTATTTGGAACTCACAACAAACTTGGGATTCCTAAGAGTGGAAAGGCTTCTATAGGGATTTGATGAACAGGGGAGAAACAGGAGTGGTGGTGGGGAGAGGGGGATGCTAAGGAGGATGGATGGGGGGCTGGACTTTAATTGTGAAAAGAGGTGAAAGATGGAAAAAAAAAAGAAAAAAAGGTGAAAGATGGAACCATCCTGTTTATTAGACTGACTATAGATAGATACAGTGAACATGGTGAAATATTAACAGTTGTTGAGTATAGGTGATGAATATATGGGTGTTCAACTCTTATGTCTGTTTGAAAATTTTCAGGGACGCCTGGGTGGCTCAGTTGGTTAAGCCTCTGCCTTCGGCTCAGGTCATGATCCCAGGGTCCTGGGATCGAGTCCCACATCGGGCTCCTTGCTCAGCAAGGAACCTGCTTCTCCCTCTGCCTGCCTCTGTCTCTCTCTCTCTCTCTGATAAATAAATAAAATATTAAAAAAATAAAAAATAAAAAATAAAATTAAAAAAAATTTTGATACAGAAAATCTTTACATGTAAATTTAACAAAGTTTTAGAGTTATGTGATTATTTCTATTGCAGCAACCAAAGGACACAATGAGATTAGATGAAACAATGCTGGTCAAACAGTTGCTGCCAGAAATCTGCCATTTTCTTCATACCTGTAGGGAAGGAAACCAACATGCCGCTGAACTTCGGAATTCTGCCTCTGGCGTTTTATTTTCTCTCAGCTGCAACAACTTCAATGCAGTGTTTAGTCGGATTTCTACCAGGTTAGTGTATAAATCTATGTAGAACTGTTGTTAAGTAATGTAATTTTAGAAGTCTTTCTTTTGTCTGCATAAAAATAAAAAGTTGATAGAAATGAATTTGACTTGGACTTTTGTATAAATTTTATACATTGATTTCTTTGACATTTTTATTATGCAATATTGTGATACTGGTGTGTACAATTAAATGTGAGTACTGTTATGAAGTTGAAAATCCAAATTTTAGGAAAACATCACTCATGATGAGGTTTTTGTTTTAACACTAGGTATAAATTTTTAGTTGGGCTCTTTAATATTATTCCTTTAAATGGAATTAGCTAATCAGATAGAATAATTGAGAAGAGTAGTCAGATTTCTGATAATCTCACAGCTCTGTTCTTTATCACAAGATCCTAAGTTACCAAGCAAAAAAAAAAAAAAAAAACCCTAACGATATGGAAGCACAAGGAAGTAATTGCAAAGTAGACTTCTCCAGAAAGTAGACTGTGTTTTAAGTGTATGAATTCTAAAAGCTCCCATTTTTTGAGTATTTACAGCATATGTTGTGCTGTTTTATCCTCATAGTATCTTTGAAATGTAGGTGCTACTTCCCCTAGTTTACAGGTAAACTAATCCTAAAGAATTTATTAAGGCACTTTGCCAAATAATGGAGGACCCCAAATTTTAAAATCAGACCAGTTTCAGAGTCTGTTAAGTTCATTATACCAGGCTGCTACTCTATACTTCCATTTTAACCATATTTTTATGAAATCTTTTTTATGATTTTTTTACTGTTGTGCTTCAGGATTATATGATAAATGTGATTTAAGCTTTTAATGATGATTAAAAATCACCATGTGATCATCAGTTGTGAAGAAATTGGTATATAGATGGTGCTATATGGAATAATGACCTATGGTAGCAAGTGACTCTGGAACTTGCTTTCATGCAAATGATTTGCCATCTCGTGCAAGAAGAGTCAAATGGGTCCTTAAATATGACCAAGTAGGAAGTATAACATGAATCACTTAGTGATTTAGTGAATATAAGACTAATATAGAATGTGGAAAAACAGCCCTGTTTGTTTATTGATACATCCTTCATCTTTTGACTTGTGTGAACAGTGGACTTCCATTAGTCAGCTTTGTTCATTCTTCTGTTGTTTTCCAACAGGTGTGAATGGAATATGCATCATAATTTGAGAGTTTGTGCTATAGTGTTTTGGGGGACTTGGCTAACTTCAAAATCCTGCTGTTTTTTTAATTAAAAATGGTATTTCTATAGTCATGATGCTAGGCAACAGTATTCTTCAATCCCTCATCAGAACTGGTGCAAAGAAAATTAAATTTTGTTTAATGGGATAATATGATTGATACTGTTAGGTAATGTTTATACAATAGAACAATGTCTTCATGAAATCTTTTGAGGGATAACATTTTATATTCTGAGTAATATTAAACTAGTTGAAGTAGCAAGGTAACCGACACCTAGGGAAGAGGAGGTTTGAAAATTATAAAAGAAAAAACAAAACCCCTTTGTTTAAGTGACTACTATACCAGCTCACTATTTGAAATAATCTTAGATTGGAGGTGAAAATTACCGAAATATTAAAATATTTTTTAGTCTATCCGAACATAAGTTGCTTTATAAAATACAGCACATGTGCCACCTTTTAAAAACTCTAGAAATTTTCCAGTCACCAAAGGTATCATTTTATAGGATTTTGCAGCATCAATGCATGTAAATATAGACAACTTTTGTGTATTTCCTGAACCTTACTGTTTCTAGAAGAAAAGTTAAATGTCTCCAGAATAAGCTAGTTTCTGTAGCTTGGAGTGGACAGACTGCTCAGAAATGGGATCTTTGAAATACATGTTTTAGACAGCTGCATTTCATGTAGCTTTTGCCAGAAATAGGAGCTGATCTTGTTAGAGGACCACTCACCTAAAAGACCATTATGATGGCTTAATTTAGATGTAGATATCATAGCTGTCATAGCATTAGGTGACTTAAAATATACAAGGGATTAGATGGCAGTTCTTTCTTTTTTTTAAAGATTTTATTTATTTGAGAGTGAGAGTTTGAGAGAGCAATAGAGCACCAGTGGGGGAGGGGGAAGGGGCAGAGGGAGAGGGAGAAGCAGAATCCCCACTTAGCAGGGATCCTGACCCAGGGTTGGATCCCAGGACCCTGGGATCATGATCTGAGCCGAAGGCAGACGCTTAACTGACTGAGCCACCCAGGTGTCCCTAGAATGGCAGTTCTTTCTGAAGATTGATTTTGTATCTCATATATAATAGATGAACCAATATCATGAAAATTTACTGTTTGACTATTCTACCTGTCCACAAATGTTTCTCTTTTAGGATTAACATTAACTTTTGATATTTCTGACCTTTGATTTTTTTTTTTAAAGGAATATGGGCTACAGATCTTAAGAATCCTTCTGCTGAAGTATACCATGTTCTGCAGCTCATGGTACTCTCTTATATGGAGGATGAGCTGCTATGTCCACAGAATTACTGTATAGTTGCACTAGATCTAATTGTTTTATAGTGGGAGGGTCCTGCAGAATATCTGATTTGACATAATACCAGAAGCAGAAGACTCAGTGATTTTAAAAGTTCTATTTGATTCTTTTTTTTTTTTCCTTTTTAGAGAAGGGGGAGGGGCAGAGGGAGAGAGAGAATCTTAAGCAGGCTCCATGCCCAGTGTGGAGCCCAACGTGGGGCTTGATTTCAGAACCCTGAGCTCATGACCTGAGCCGAAATCAAGAGTGAGACGCTTAACTGACTGAGCCATCCAGGTGCCCCCAAAGTTCTATTTGATTCTTTTTCTTTTTTTTAAAAATTTTATTTATTTATTTGACAGAGAGAGACACATGAGCGAGGGAACACAAGCAGGGGGAGTGGGAGAGGGAGAAGCAGTCTTCCCATGGAGCAGGGAGCAGGGAGTCCGATGCGGGGCTCGATCCCAGGACCCTGGGATCATGACCTGAGCCGAAGGCAGATGGTTAACGACTGAGCCACCCAGGCACCCAAAGTTCTATTTGATTCTTTTACAGATTTGATTTTTTTTTATGGTTTCTTATTCTTCTTAATAGTTTTAAATTTTTATATGGCTATAATCATTTAAAACGTATTTTATATTCTCTTAAGATCTAAATAATTTCATATACTTGTATGTGCCAGTTCTCATTCATAGGAATGGTTTCCTCTCTTTTCTGTAAACTTTGATTACAAATTCATCTCTAGTGCACATCTGTATTTTCTTTGGGAATCTCTTGTAGCTGTGGGAGTGTCCTAGTGATGGTTTTTGCATTTGCTTTTGCTAAGTGCCCAGCTCTGGACTTTTTTTTGTTTTTGGTTAATTTCTCATTCCCAGATTGTATGAATAATGTAAATGTGGACCTCAAACCCTTATAAGGTAACAGCTCTGGGTGACTTTTTCCCCTACCCAAAACAGCCGGAGCAGACAGACATCTTATGTTAGTAGATTTTTTTATCTCCTTCCACTCTCCTTTCATTCCATCTCTCTCTGTGCAACTCACATTTAAGGAATTGCATAGTTCTTGCTAGTCATGTTTTTTGCAGGGCCCCAGTTCTATTCCCTGCATTATTAGGGTATAAAGCTTTGTATCCAGTCCCACATAGATGTTAGCCACAAACCCCGAGGTTAAGGAGAGGAAAAAACCTAGCTCCTGTGCTTCCTTTGTCGCAAAGTCAGACCATGTCTTCAAAACCATCTCTGGTTTTTAGATTCCTCTCATTTCTGCACCTGGGTGGATGGGGGCTGTTTATCTTATTTTCTTTCTTTCTTTTTTTTTTTTTTTCCTTTTTTTCAGAGAGGGAGAGAGTGAGAAAGGTGGGGAGGAGCAGAGGGAGAGGGAGAGAAAGAATCTCAAGCAGATTCCCCACTGAGTACAGAGCCCGATGAGGGGCTCAAGCTCACAACCCTGAGATCATGACCTGAGCTGAAATCAAGAGTCGGACCTTAACCAACTGAGCCTTCCAGGCACTTTTATTTTATTTTATTTCTATACATTTTAAATATCTTTTTGTTGTACCTGGTCTTTCTAGATGTTTTAATAAGATTTCTACTTTACTTCTTTTGCTCCAACTACCCTTTGATTTCTGTCCTTCAGAAATGATGTTTAAGCCTCACAAAATACCCCTTCCCTATGGAAATACTGGGCTGTAAAAAGAATTAAACTTTTTTTCCATTTTTTCACAACTGCAAGAGTCAGCTTTTCAGAAGTTGGTGTTGCTGATTTATTAAGTTGTATTTCCTAAGGAATCATATACCATATTTCCTAGGCTCTTTGCATCAGTTGTGGAATTTTTAGCATGTAAATCAGTATTGAGGACCTTGTCATTCCCAGTGTGAACTACTAAGCTTTTCTCACCCTGATGATATGAAGAGCTTTAGTGGAAGTGCTTAGAATAATTTTAATGTTAGCTATACATTTGCAGGCTAAAGTTAGTGAAAAAGGAATTTGAGAAGGAAGAAATTGGATTGATATCACTTTTAGCAACTGAAGGTTTAGTATGATGATTAATGTCAGTTTTAGACTGCATTAAAATGGCCACAATTCGAGTTAATATTATGAGTGAGATTTTGTAGTATTTGTGCTTTTTCACTATATCTCTCTCTCTCTGCATTTATGAACATTAGTAATTCCATTCATGTGCTTACATTTTTGATATCTTAATTGAAGTAATGAGTATTCCTCATTAGGAAGCACAATTCAGTAGATTAACAATGTCAGCTTTTGAAAAGCTGACTTCTCACAGCAAAGGAAACAAGACGACAAAACCAAAAGACAACTGACAGAATCTGGGAGAAGATATTTATAAATGACATATCAGATAAAGGGCTAGTATCCAAAATCTGTAAGGAACTTACCAAACTCAACACCTAAAAAACAAATAATCCATTCAAGAAGTGGGCAGAAGACCTGAACAGACATTTCTCCAAAGAAGACATACAAGTGGCCAACAGACACATGAAAAAGTGCTCAACATCGCTCGGCATCAGGGAAATCCAAATCAAAACCTCAATGAGATAGCACCTCACACTAGTCAGAATGGCTAAAATTAACAAGTCAGGAAACGACAGATGTTGGCGAGGATGCGGAGAAAGGAGAACCCTCTTACACTGTTGGTGGGAATGCAAGCTGGTGCAGCCACTCTGGAAAACAGTATGGAGGTTCCTCAAAAAGTTGAAAATAGAGCTACCATATGATCCAGCAATTGCACTACTGGGTATTTACCCCACAGATACAATGTAGTGATCCGAAGGGGCCCCTGCATCCCAATGTTTATAGCAGCAATGTCCACAGTAGTCAGACTATGGAAAGAGCCCAGATGTCCATTGACAGATGAATGGATAAAGAAGATGTGGTGTGTATATGTGTATATATACATACACACACACAGTGGAATATTACTCTGCCATCAAAAAAATGAAATCTTGCCATTTGCAATGATGTGGATGGAACCAGAGGGTGTTATGCTAAGCAAAATAAGTCAATCAGAGAAAGACAATTATATGATCTCACTGTTATCTGGAATTTAAGAAACAAAAGAGGATCATAGGGGAAGAAAGGAAAAAATAAAACAAGATGAAACCAGGGAGGGAGACAAACCATAAGAGACTTTTTTTTTTTTTTTAAGATTTTATTTATTTGACAGAGACACAGCGAGATTGGGAGCACAAGCAGGGGGAGTGGGAGAGGGAGAAGCAGGTTTCCCACTGAGTAGGGAGCTCGACGTGGGACTCAATCCCAGGACCCTGGGATCATGACCTGAGCCAAGGGTAGACACTTAACTGACTAAGCCACCCAGATATCCCCCATAAGAGACTCTTAACCATAGGAAACAAACTGAGGGTTGCTCGAGCTGAGGGAAGTTGGAGGATGGTGTAACTGGGTGATGTGCGTTAAGGAGGGCATGTGATGTAATGAGCACTGTATATTATATAAGACTGATGAATCACTGATGTCTATCTGAAAGCAATAATATGTTACATGTTAATTAATTGAATTGACTATAAATAAATAAAGCAAGCAAATAAAATAATAAAAGAAAATCTGACTTCTGTGGTTGTTAGTGAGAGATGGAGGAAAAATTTTATTCAGACTTAAGTGAATTTTTTTATGAGTTTAACAAAATCTATTTTTGTTAAGTGTTAAATTTTTCTGCTTTTGTGGTAACTTCATATTTAGTATAAGGGAAATTTGGGGTTTGGAAAGATTCTTGTCTTTACAAGAAGTTTTGTGAGGGAGGGACATTAATCAAATAATCACATAAATACACGTATAGATTGTGAAAAGTACAAGGAATAAATGCTTACTCATTTTTTCAATATGAAGTAAATGTATCCTATAGATGTAGATAAAATATCATTTATGTTTCTGAAGTCTAATTGATGTAATCAGAAGTTAATAAATTTATTTTCATTACAGAAAAATTTTAAAAATACACAAATAGCACAGAGACTGGTATTTCAAATACTTATATATCTCTCTGCTTCAGTAGTTCTCTGCATGCTGTGATTTTTTTGTTTAGATAAAAATTGTATAAATTTGAGGTATACAACATAATGATTTGATTTATGTATACACAGTGAAGTCTACTGGATTATCTTGGCTTCTTTTATCATATCTCCCAGGTAGTTATGTACCTGTGAATTTTATAAGAAGTATTTATTGTCTTATTTATTTTTTTTAAATGTATTTTTTTAAAGATTTTATTTATTCATTTGAGACAAAGAGACAGAGAGAGAGAGAGAGACAGAAACAGAGAGAGAACATGAGCAGGGAGAAAGGCAGAGGGAGAGGGAGAAGCAAACTCCCCACTGAGCCAGGAGCCCGATGTGGGGCTCGATCCCAGGACCCTGGGATCATGACCTGGGCCGAAGGCAGACGCTTAACCATCTGAGCCACCCAGGCGCCCCTATTGTCTTATTTTTTTATGTATATTTTTTCTTATAAACTCATCATTGGGGTGAGAAGAATCTGTTCAGTTCAGAATTTTGAACTTTCCTTAAGATAGTAAATTATTTTTGGTTTTTACTTTTCAGATTACAGGAATTGACTGTTTGTTCAGAAGACAATGTTGATGTTCATGATATAGAATTGTTACAGTATATCAATGTGGATTGTGCAAAATTAAAACGACTACTAAAGGGTAAGTTTAAATGTAAGATATATTTGAGACTGATCACTGTGAGTGAAAAACCAGTGTTTGAATGTATGAATTGTCCTAATTGTGTTGAACTAGAACATCAAAGTGGATTTTATAATGCAAATGTTCTTGTGAAATGGATAATAATGCTTAATGGTTCAATAATTTTTGAGCCTTTGAAAACAAAAAAATGAGTATCTTAAATCTTGGTAATGGAAAGTTTTGTTCAACTACAAGTTTTGCTTTAACAAAGAGAACATACAGGGGCTGTTACTTAATTTTTCTAGAATTTTATTTCTTAAGGATAGTTATAGGTTATAGAAGTTACCTGTTTAGCTGTTGTAGTGCTAAAAGCAGATTGTTTAGCAGGATATCAAAGTTCCTTTGCAGAATGGAACCAGAAGATTGTGATTTTATGACAATAGGAGGAATTGAGACGGGCATCTCATTTCTGATACTTGTGTTTTCACCTCTGTTACTGACTTTCTGACTGACTTTGCAGAATTAGTTTCTTACCTTTTCAGTGCTTTTTGCTTCCTTGTAGAACATTTCAGTTATAATCCCATCTGGTGACATTATAATGCTTAATATGTGATTTCATTTAGTTTTTAAAGATTTATTTCAGAGAGTGGGGGGGGGGGGATGGGAAGGGGCAAAGGGGAAGAGAGAGAAATCCAAGCAGACTCTGCGCTGAGCTTGAGCCAGATGTGGGCTTGCTCCCATGACCCGAGATCATGGCCCCAGCTGAAACCAAGAGTGGGACACCTAACCGACTGTGCCACCCAGGCGCCCCTTAATATGTGATTTTATAGCTTTGGAAAATGCTTTGCAAGATTATGTTGATTAAAATAAACAGTCTCAAGGAATTGAGAGAATTTTTGTGATAAGCATGAAAGTGTTATTTAAATAAAATATTAATGAACATTATTAATAAACTGAGTATAAATAAATTCACTTCACAAAAATTGTTTCTTAGTTTTGTGTAATATTGGATCCTAGCTAATTTAAATGTGAATCCTTACAGTATATGATTCATACTTTTTCATTTTATTTTGTATATTGATTAAGGAATTATGAAAAATGTTTTTAGTGTCTGACCTAAAAGAAGATTTAGTTATGTTAACTGTGAAAACCTCAATAGTTCTGCAATGTAATTGTCAAAACACCTTGTTTATTGTTTTCCTAACATTTGCTTTAAACTCAGTAACTGTTTCATCAGAGATGTAAAAAGGCTATATCTAGGGGCGCCTGGGTGGCTCAGTCAGTTAAGCGTCTGCCTTCAGCTCAGGTCATGATCTCAGGGTCCTGGGTTCGAGCCCCATGTCAGACTCCCTGCTCAGTGGGGAGTCTGCTTCTCCTTCTGCCCCTTGCCCCTTGCTCATGCTTTTGTGCTTTCTCTCTCCTCTCTCTCTCTGAAGTAAATAAACAAAATCTTTAAAAGAAAAAACGTCTATGTAGATCAATACTATAAGGCTGTGTTCTATTTCTATTACCGATTTTAGGTCATTACTATTATAAGACCGAGCAACAATTAAATCACTTTCAGTAACTTTAATAAAGAAATAAAATGGATCATTTTAGCTATTATGTTAAGTGGACAACAATTGTTTTAAACTATAATAAACCGCAATTCAGTTCACAGTTGAAATTTTTAAGATCTTAGAGTCTATCATTAAATGTTAGTTAAGGATGATAAAATTTAGAGATTTTCTCTTTGTATAAAATTTAAGAAGTATAAGCAGATTTTTGTGATTTTTCATAGCTGTTTAGTGACATTTCAGAAATAAATCTAGTCCTGGTTGCCCCTAAGTAGGTACTTGTTTAAAACATCAGTTTTCTTAGAAATGTTTAATCTGTAATAATTAATTTAAATGGTTCCCGATGTCCAAATAAGAGAAACTAAATGTGTAAATAAATGTCTCTTTTTATTGTGATAAGTCATCCCCATTGACTGTAACCGCCTCATGAATGTAAATTTAGAGTATAGCTGATAAATGTGTAAAGTATAAAAATGCCAGTATTAAATAGGCCGGCAAAAGTTGGCTGTAGGTGACAATGGTGAAAGGAGTGGTATCTTCCTGTAATATGTTTTAAGTTCACTTTATGAGCACCGGGTGTTATACACAACTAATGAATCGTTGAACACTACATCAAAAACTAATGATGTCCTATATGTTGGCTACCTGAACATAATAAAAAATAAATAAATAAAACGCACAGCATTTGTTAAGAAACTGTGTTCAAGAAACCATGCTAAGTGCTAGGATTACAAAGATTAATAAAGTATTGAATCTGTCTCCACGGAACTCATGACCTGGTATATGAGACAAATATATTATTACCAAATTATTTGCAAAGTAATGTGGCAAACTCAGGGTGAGCATATAGTGAGGGACGAGGTATGTATTTGGGGGTAAGACTGGTTAAGAGGAAAAGAGCAAAATATGGAGGTACAAGAGCCGGCCAGATTGTGTTAATAAAAGCAGAGTGATATTTGTTGCATTTTCAGCATGTGCCACACATTATCCTCTGCAGTTTCGTGCCTTTTCTCATCCATCCTCACAGGAACCCTGTGAAGCACATAGTAGTATTATCATCCCCTATGTAGATGAGGAAATTGAGGCGTCAGTGTCATTTTCAAGGTCAGACAGCTAGTGAGTGGCACGGGAAGATTCATATCGCATCAGCCTGTCTCTAGAGCCAACTGTTACACAATTGTGCTTATGGGTTATATAATTTAAAAAAAAAGTGGCCATGGGAAGTGATGGAAAGGCTTTAAGGCAGGATCAGTATTTTATTTTAGACATACCACTTTGCTTGAAATTTGCAGGATGGCAAAAGTTTACATGAAGTTCTGGGACTTGGTTGTATAGTAACGTGAGTGAAAAATGAGGGTAGAGCAGGTCTTAATGGAATGGGGGTAGGGTAGATAACCAATTTGGTAATGGTATTTAGGAAGTAGAGTACACCAAAATACATAAAATACATCACCTAACATGTGGTGATTTAGATACGTGAGGTTAAAGAGAAGTATCACCAAGTATTACAGAGCAAGCTGATTGACGCGGGAAAGGAAAGGAAGGATTGATAGCAGTAAAGAGCATAGCCAAGAAAATGATAAATTTAGTTTTACATCTATTGCCTTTGAGGTATGGGTTGGCTGTCCAGTCAGAAACTTGTACAACTGGAATAATAAAAGGCATATACTTTGGAATTAAGAATAGACTACTGTGTATAACATATTCATGGTGTCGTAAAGGTAAAGTTAATGAACGTGGGAAGGCAAAAAGGCTCAAGAGCACTTTGAAGTATAATGCCATTATTTGGAAATCAAAGGAGAGCAAGAGCAAGGGAAGTTGTAGGAATACATTTTAAACCTGACTTAGAGAACAAATCACTCAATTCCAAGTCCAGAAAAAAGGACATTTAAATGTTTAGACAGCTTTATTACTCAAAGACTCATCTCTTAGAAAGATATTTATATAAAAATAGTAAGTACATGTATCCCTCCATTAAAAGTCCATAGGAGGCAACAAAAATAAAAATAAGCAAGTGGGACTATACCAGATTAAAAGCTTCTGCACAGCAAAGGAAGCATCAACAAAATGAGAAGGCAGCTTACTGAATGGGAGAAAATATTTGTAAATCATGTATCTAATAAGAGGTTAATATACAAAATTTGTGACAAACTCTCACCTCAATAGCAAAAAACCCTCATATTGTGATTAAAAATGGGCAGAGGACCTCAAAAATATCTATTTTTCCAAAGAAGGCCAACAGGTACATGAAAGATGTTCAGCATTACTCATCATCAGGCAAGTGCAAATCAGAACCACATGAGGTATCTCCTCACATTTCTTAGAATGGCTGTTATCAAAACAAGAAATAATAAGTTGGTGAGAATGTCCACTATTGGTGGGAATGTAAATTGGCACAGCTGCCAAGCAAAACAGTATGGAGGTTCCTCAGAAAATTAAAGGGAGAACTACCATATGATCCAGCAATTCCACTTCTTGGTACTTATCCAAAGAAAATGAAAACATTAACTTGAGAAGATATATATACCTGGTGTTCATTGCAGCATTATTTTACAATAGCCAAGGTATGGGAACAACTTCAATATCCATTGACAAATGAATGGATAAAGAAGATGTGAAATATATATATGTATTTAAAATGTACATACATGTTTATACATATGTTTAAAAATATATTTTATATCATATATAAGATACATAAAATGGAATATGTGTATTCTATATTAAAATGGAATATTATTCATCCATAAAGAAGGAGGAAATCTTAACCATTTGTGACAACACAGACGGACCTTGAGGGAATTATGTTAAGTGAAATATGTCAGACAGAGAAAGACAAATATTGTATGTCTCACTTATATATGGAATCTTAAAAAAAAAACAAAAACACAACCAAGCTCATAGATATGGAGAACAGAGTGGTGTTTGCCAGACGTGAGGCAAGGGATGGGAGAGTGAGCAAAATAGGTGAAGGGAGTCAAAAGGTAAAAACTTCCAGTTATAAAAAGTCATGGGGATGTAATGTACAGCATGGAACTATAGTTAATAGTACTGGATTGCGTATTTAAAAGTTGCTAAGAGAGTAGATCTTAAAAGTTCTCATCACAAGAAAAAAAATTTGTAACTACATATAGTAATGGATGTTAACTAAACTTATTGTGATTATTTCACAATATATTCAAATACTGAATCATTATGTTGTATACCTGAAACTAATATAATGTTGTATGTCAATTATACCTCAGTTAAAACGAGCAAAGTCCCTAGGCAGAGTTTTCTGCCAAAGGACTGTTACCAGTAAAATAGTTTATAGAAGGTTCATTTTTTCCAGGTATAAATCTTTTTATAGATGGGGACAACACATTTACGGAAGAGGAAATAAAAATATCTAATACATTCATATGGAGAAATGTTTAGTCTTGTTTTTAAAGTTCAGTCCACTATTTTGAACAATCAGATTAGCAAAATAAAAACAAAAACATGTTTTATATGACAAGAATGTTGATAAGGCTACTTTCATATGCTGCTTGGTGTGAGTGACATTTGGCCCAACCTTCTGAAAATCAGCTTGGCGATATTTATCAAGAGCCTTAAAAAATATTCATCTCTTTGACCAGATAATTCTACTTCTAGATCTTATCCTAAAGAAATGAACAGTAATATGGAAAATATTTGGATATAAAAGTGTTTATTAGTGTTATTTATAATAATGATATATTAGAAATATCTTAAACATACAATTGGAAAATGTTTAAATAACCAGTGACTTAATATATTGACTTAAATATGCTGAAAGACACCAGAGCATACTTAAACAGACTGTGGCTTTGAAACCCAATTCAATAGTTTGTTAGATCTGTAACCTCAGAAACACAATTTGCTCATTTATAATATCTGAAAATATTAAGATTTTGAAAGAAATACATTAGATTAAAAATACCTGGCTTGTTGTAATTGTTAAGTTATAGTTACTATCATATTTAGAGTCATCATATATGTATGAGGAATTTTTAATGATATGGAAAAAATTTGGGATACTACATAAAATGAAGAGAACAGGTTTGGTTTAGCCTTTATGATCTCAGTTGTGGTAAATATATTTGTCTTATACTTGCGTACAAAAAGGGATGGAAGAAAGTTCATCACACTGTTACCTGTGATTCTGAATGGAACGAATCATGGATGATGTTTTAAATTCCCCTTAGAATGTTGTGTATTTTTTAAATTTTCTACAATGACCATGTGTTTTATACTTTAAAAATCAATTATTATTAAAAAAAAACAAACCAAGAACCTTTGAAATTCAAGGCATGTTTGCTTTTCAAATTTGTCTTTAGTGGACATAATCAGTGAATTTTTGGTTTATATTAATTGTCTTTACCTTCACATTGCTTATAAATAATACTGGAACTAAAGTTTGTATGTAAAAGGAAAGTTTAGTTGGTTTATTTGTTTGTTTTTACAAGTAGCTCTGAATTTGTGTTAACTAATCTTAGAGTTAATTAAAAAAATTTTTTCCCCCCAGAAACTGCATTTAAATTTAAAGCCCTAAAGAAGGTCGCACAGTTAGCAGTTATAAATAGCCTGGAAAAAGTAAGTTATAACCTCTTTGATATTAAAATTTTGTTAAATTTTGCTTGTAAATATTGCTGTCTTTACTATTTGAATCAAAAGTCATGACTTCAGTAATAATTTCACATTAATATTTAGGAGGCATGCATTACAGTATTCTTATGAAGGAAATGAGAAGTTTGTAATATAATTGGGGTTGTGTGACATTTTGTTTACTATATTTTGAAGATACCCCTGCTTTCATATAAAAGCATATGTTTTGTTATTTATAGGCATTTTGGAACTGGGTAGAAAATTATCCAGATGAATTTACAAAGCTATACCAGATTCCACAGACTGATATGGCTGGTAAGAATAAGATTATTCATCTTTTAAACTCTTCCTTATGAGGTAAAAGCCTATCACTTTCCAGATTATTTATGTTAAGGTGCTTTTACATCTTGTCAGCTGACGTCAAATAGGAAATATTATTTTTCTCTTATATTTCAAAATTTCCCTCAATCCTTTTCTTTCCTTTGAGCAAATTTGCAAAAGCAGTTTGGAGTAAAGCTCTCATCTTTAGAGTTGTGGATTTGATATTTGATGGCTCTTCTTTGTAGAGAAGTACTCTTTGTATTCTGAGGCTTCATTTTGTATTTAGGGAGATGTGTATAAAGTAGTAATATCCTTACTTAGAATTCTTGAGATACAACTGTGATGCAGAGAATCCAGAATCCAGAGAGTATGATGATTCCCTGTGAGAAGCTGTCCAGTCTACTTCTTGTGTACATCACACTTTGCAAAAGGCCCTGCACATTGAGACTAAACACAAGTTTGTCTGTTCTGAAATGTAACCTTTTCTAGGATGGATCAAGATAGCTCTTTTATTTTTTTTATTTATTTTTAAAAGATTTATTTATTTATTTGAAAGAGAATGAGAGCGAGAGAGAGCATGGGGGCAGGGGCAGAGGAGGAGAATATCCAAGTAGACTCCAGCTGGGCGTAAAGCCTGATGTGGGGCTTGATCTCACAACCCATGAGATCATGACCTGAGCCAAAACCAAGTCAGACGCTTAACTGACTGAGCCACCCAGGTGCCCCAAAATAGCTCTTTTAATACATAGACAATATAATATTGCTTGTCTGCTTACCTGAAATTTAATTGTTTAAATGAACTTCCAGTTTATCTTTAAAAAATTTGACCTTTGGGTTTTTGGATAGTGCCGGCTTTTAGTTTAATGCCAGAGATATTCTCATTTAGTAATATCATTTAATTGTATTTTTCACATAGAGTGTGCAGAAAAACTGTTTGACTTGGTGGATGGTTTTGCTGAAAGCACCAAACGTAAAGCAGCGGTTTGGCCACTACAAATCATTCTCCTTATCTTGTGTCCAGAAATAATCCAGGATATATCCAAGGATGTGGTTGATGAAAACAACATGAATAAGGTGAGGAGGGCAAAGTTATTTCCATTATGTCCAGATGTCATCTAGTTCATTTTAATCAAGGTGTGTATGACTTTAGGCTTAATATTCTGTAAGCACAATAATTCAGGGGACCATTTCTAATTATGATCACTTTAGGTCTCTTTGTTTGCTGGCCTTGGCAGAGACATACTCATATAAAAATTCTTTTGAAGGGAAAATAAATGATACCCTCATTAATTAAAGATTTTAAAACAATTCTTTAGTTTCATTTTTTTACCAGAGAAGACTAAGTGATACCAGAGAAGACTAAGTGATACTTCTGTCAGTGAAACGTAGTTTCTCTAACAATTACAGCAATGGTTGCCCTATTAGAATCCATCACTTTCGTGTTATTTGCATGTACTTAGTGGTGTATCTACTTGGTGCTAATGAAATTGTCTAGTAACTATTTTCAGATATTTTAGAACAGTTTTCATAGCATTTTATTAGGAAGGTAGGATACCACATACGCTATCTATAGTGAAATTGGTACTATAACAACTGCTAATTTTAGGGGACTCTTAAAATTTTTAAAAACAGAGCAGGGTAGGGTGTTAATCTTACTGTTTTATTTGAATTTCTTTATTCAGTTTGTTTTGGTAATTGATTTTTCTTTGTTTCTTTTTTTCCTATTTATTTATTTATTTTTGCCACTTTTGGAGAAATACTTTCAGCTGAGTGAACATGAAATGGGCTCCTGCATGACTTGCCTGTGGATGGAGATGTTCAGAATCAGTGGAATGATTCAATACTTTGTAGAAATATTGGATAGGGAATTTATGCAATAGATGGCTAAATAAATGAACTTAGGTAATCCTTTAGAGTTTGTGATGCTGTGGTACACCACTTAGGTCTGTAGCCTCGCTCTTCCATTGTGAGGATACCGTTTTTCATGTTAGATTGCTTTGAAGCCTGTCAAAAGAGTAAATTTTGGGAGGGTTTCTGTTTATTGGGAAAATAAACAGAGGTAAAAAGCTATTATAAATTCAGTATTACTCTTAGGTGAACTTATATTTGAATAATCACAGCTACATCTTTCCAAATGTTTATTGATTATTTGTATATCTTCTATGAATTTCTCATTTTCCATTGAATTTTTTTTTTTTTTTAAGATTTTATTTATTTGAGAGAGAGAGGACAAGTAGGCGGAGGGGCAGAGGGAGAGGGAGAGGGAGAAGGAGACTCGCCACTGAGCAGGGAGCCTGACACAGGGCTCGATCCCAGGACTTTGGGATCATGACCTGAGCCAAAGGCAGACACTTAACCGAGTGAGCCACCCAGGCGCTCGAATTGTTTGTTCTTTATTGATGTGTAGGGTGTGTGTTGTATGTACACTTTTTACTTAGTTTCTTTTTTTAAACTTTGTTTATGGGTTTTTGTTTTTGTTTTTGCTATTTAGATATTTAAAATTTGTAGTAGTCAACTCTGTCTTTTTCTGTCTCTTAGCTTTTTTGGTCATACTGTTCCTAACCAAGATTTTATTTATTCATTTTATTGAGATATAATTCACATACCATAAATTCATTCTTCTAAAGTGTACAATTCAGTGTTTTTTAGCATATACAAAAAGTTGTGCAACCGTCACTGCAATCTAATTCAAGAACATTTTTGTCATCCCTGAAAGAAACCTCGTACCTGTTAGCAGTCACTCCTTACTCCTGTCTCACCTAGACTCTGGCAACTACTGATCTGCTTTCTGTCTCTATGGATTTGCCTATTCTGGATATTTCATATAAATGGAATCATATAATATGTGACCTTTGTATCTGGAACATCCCAAGATTTTTGAAATATACTTTTATATATTTCTTAGTACTTTTCCAGGTTAAAAAACTTAGATTTTAAAATCTTTCTGGATTAAAAAAAAGTATTTTTTTTTTAATGTATTCTCACTCTTTCCTAGTCACATTACTTATGAGCCAACCAGTATTAATGGTTGGTTGATATGTATCCCTCCTTTTGTATCTACTTGCTCATACAAACATTCAAATGAAAATACACATACATACATAGTGTGGTGATGGTTATATTTTAAAATGAAGTCACATAATATATTTTTAAGTACTCTCTCTACCCAATCTGGGGCTCGAACTCATGACCCTGAGACCAACAGCTGTATGCTCCACTGACTGAGCCAGCCAGGCATCCCAAAATGAAGTCATTGTATACACATTACTCTGCATCTTGCTTTATTTACCTAAGAGTATATCTCAGCTGTTCCTCAGAATAGTTGATAACACATTCCTTTAAGTGTTAGGTAATATTCTATTACGCTAATGAGCCTCATTTACTCAGCCATTTCACTGTGAATGGATGAATACTTAAATTTTTTTTCAGTTTTTTGACATTACATTAAATCCTTTAGTAAATATCTGTGTTCATGTATTTTTGTTAACTGATGCTTTTAATTCTATAGAGTAGAATTCCAAAACTGTGATTCTGTGTCAAGGGCATTTGTATTTAAATTTTTTTTTAAGATTTTATTTATTTTAGAGAGGGAAAGAGAGAAGAGTGCCAGCACCCGTGTACAAGTGAGAGGAGGGGCAGCAGGAGAGGGGAGACAGAATCCCAAGCAGACTCCCCACTGAGTGCAGAGCCTGGTGCAGGGCTCAATCTGATGACCCTGAGATGATGACCTGAGCCGAAATCAAGGGTTGGATACCCAACTGAATGAGCCATCCAGACGCCCCTGTATTTAAAATTTTTAATAGTTATTCTTAGATTTACACTCCCCAATATTCATCGCATGTCACATTAGAATCATAATGCCTGTTTTTCTGCATCCTCACCAGCACTGCATGGTTGTCAGTCTTCAATGAGATGAAAAAGAGTAACTGATTTTACTGCTTATGATTAGTGAGGTTCAGGATCATTTCTGTTTTGTGGTCATTTGCATGTTTTCTTTTGCATGTCTGTTCATTTCCTTTACTTATTTTCCTTTTTAAATTTTTTTTGTCAGTCTCTTTATTAACTTCTGGGACTTTTTGTCTATTAGTCTCTTACCTGATGATACCATATTTGATTTAGAAGAATGTTTTATAGTTTCCAAATTGTTAAATTTTTTGGTGATTTTTAAAGATTTAATTGTGGTTAGAAAATGGTAGTACATATTTGCTTTAAAAAGTGTTCTGTGGTCCTGGAGAAGAATGTGTATCATTTCTTTAGGGTACAGAATTTAATGTAAATGTTTAAAACTGCATGTAGAACTGCTCTGTAGCTCTTGAGAACGCCTGTAGGGGCTTGAGAGGCCCCTATGAATATGCTGTGCGAAATGCTTGGTTTAGCTGTCTGAGCTCCCCGAACCCTTAAGTAGCCAATAGACTCTGGGCAGTGTGGCAGAACTCCTTCTAGGCATTGGTAATCACACTTAGCTCTTTATTATAAAGCAAGCAAAGAACAAACAACAAACAAATAGAACCCTCAGCAGATCAGATCGGGCTCTCATTTACACATTGTAGACTGTGAACTATATGAAAAGTGGTTCTCTTTTTCATTTTATAGTTTTTGTTATTATTATTTTATTGTGTTTTTATTTCATTAGGGAAGGTAGTATCATGACTCCACACAGTGATCTCTATTATACTTATGAAACAGTAATGAGCCGCTGATCTGAAAAGCCCTGCAGGACAGTCCTCCTCTTTGTGATTTCTTAGGACCTTGGACAGCAAAGACTCTGCCATTTTTAGAACATAGCTTCCATGGAAGTTGATTCTATTCTGCTGACCAGAAGGAAAAACATGGGAAATCAAGCTGAGGATTTTTATGGGCCAGGCCTGGAAATGGCACACTTTTATTCACATTGCATTGGGTAGAACTCTGTCACATGGCCACATCTAACTGTAAGAGAACCTGAGAAATACATCTATATCCCCCAGGAACCAAGAAATGAAGGAGTTAGGAGAGAGAGGAGGAGTCAGGGATGGCTTAGACTGCTGTCTCCCTAGAATTCCCAGTTATTTCTTTATGGGTGCAAAGCTATATATCAGGAGTACCTGTCCATATAGCCAGAATAGTGCTGGCTATATGTGCTGCAAGAAGAGGTGTGGAACCTTAGTTGAAGTAAGAATAGAACTTAGAAAGAGAGACAGAGTTGTTTAGGCCAGGGTGATCAAGAAAATGGATGTTCAGAAAAGTTAGCTAGAGGATGGAAGATTCATGCAGGTGATGATAAGAAATGAAGTTGAAGAGGCAGATGTGAGCAATATGGAAGATACTGTGAACCAGTTGGGGTTGAAACTTTAAGTTTAGGGTTAAAGGTGAGACATGCAAAGTAGTGTTTTTGGCTGATAAAAAGAAATTCCAAAGTGGGAGCTGGGTCAAAATAAATGTGAGTTTATCTTTTAAAATTTTATTTACTTATTTATATTGTGGTAAAATAACCTTAAATATACAAGTACAAGTGTACATCAAGTACATTCACAGTGTTTTGCAAACATCATCATTATCTATTAGTGAACTTTTTTTAGTCCTCTTAAATTCTGTATGTTAAACATGACTTCTCATTCACCCTATTCCTAGCCCCTGGTAGCCTCTATTCTATTCTTGGTTTCTCTCAGTTGCCTATTCTAGGTACCTCATATTGGTGCTATTATACAATATTTATCCTTATATGTCTGGCTTACACCATTTAACATAATATTTTCAAGATTGATCCATTTTGTTGCATGATCAGAATTTCATTCCTTATTGTGGCTGAATAAATATTCCATTGTATGTTATATACCACATTTTGTTTATCTCCTAGAAATTTCTTGTGTGCAGTGGTATTCCATTGTGGTTTTGATTCACATCTTTTTTTTTTAAGTTTTTTTTTTTTCTTTAAGTTTATATATTTAGGTAATCCCTACACCCAACATGGGGCTTGAACTCATGACCCTGACATTAAGAGTTGCATGCTCTTCTGACTGAGGCAGCCAGGTGCACTGATTTGCATCTTTCTAGTGACTAACAGTGTTGATCATCTTTTCATAAGCTTATTGGCC